TCTAACAAAAAATAAATAAATAAATGAATATAAATACGTTTTATAATTTATAAAACATGCCTTAATTTCTATTTTATTATATGTATTTGCTCTAACTTGTTAATAAATAAATAAATAAGTATATGTGGTATATATTTATTTATCTATCAAATTAGGCAAGTATAATCAAATATAGGCTGAGCTCGAAGCTGTGCTTATATAAGTTGTATATGTAGTTCAACCAGTATCATATCATATCTATTCTATATTTCCACCTATTGCTTTTCAACTCAACTAATCAACTAGATGTCTTTCTTACAGCACTCATAGTTAAGTCAAATAATGAAACTAAGGGTTAAATTTGATTGCTTTCCTAAAAGCGAAAATACCCATCAGAACAGTTTCGCACACAGAATTTTCCAATTGAAACCCAATTAAGCTTTATATGATGTCCCAATAAATCACTCGCACTTTCAACCCGGACTATCGATTACTACCAGTCTGCCAGCTCTGCTCTGGATGGCATCGATATCTGCTCATCAGATTGTCACAATGATGGAAGATTCAGCCGCAAATGAAATTTTTGTTGGGCCAAGAGCTGCAGCACAGAATGCTTGGACCACACACTCAAACTCAACTTGGTTCAACGAAATAGAAGCAAGACTTAGCCTGGTCAGGAGGTGGTTAACTGCATTTCACTTTTTGGACTGAGGGAAATTGCAATGAGCTGCCACCCAAAAAGCGAATGCATTAATCAAACTCACAAGAGGTGTGGCACGTGCATATATGCTCAAGCATTGATTGGCATCAAATTAATAACCATTTCATTATCATCAAAACTTGCCGTTGAGTGGCCAACACTTCATCTATTGTAGACAAATGGAAACCAGGCTCGCTTGCAGCTTTGCTAATGCATTTCAATCATTGTTGGGCCAAGAGAAATTTCAGTCCCTCAATGCTAGTGCATTAATCAAAATATCCTTTCAATGCAGCCAAAAAGGTGTGGAATATGCATATCTCATGCCTTGATTGGTATAAAATTAATATAATTTCAAATGCTTGGTTCATGCAGACAATCAGCTGGCTCACACACACACAGACACACACACTCACACAGTGCCAAGTGCCATTCCAGCATCCTTTTTTTTAATGGCATTGCGTCCTTGGCAGACAGCGAACAATAAAAATGGAGGCCAGGCTTATTGTAAAGCAGCCAAAATCAGAAACAGAATAGGAATCAGAAACAGAATTAGGATTGCAGCCGGATTCGAGTTGCGACTGTTGCAATTTTGACTTCGCCACAGCCTAGGTTTAATTGTCCGTGAAGGATTTATTTGCTGGAAATTATGATTTATAAGTTCAGCAGCCAGTTGCACTTACAGCTAAAACACACACACACACACCCAACGTATCAGTTGATTCCCAGTTTGTCTATGCCCATCTCTCTCACTATCTCCCTCTCTCTCTCTCTCTTTTTGGCTTTGCCTGTGGGCCAATTCCTTTTATTGTTTCTGGGCATTGACCTCGTTTCAACAGTGGGTCATAGGTTAGTGCGGCTGCTCTTCCTGTTCGCCTGAATGGCTCAAGAAAAATGACTGGCATAAAACAAAAATTGAATTGAATTACGTTATGCTTTTAGCCACAGGTGAGGATAGTTCCATTGCAGATTCGAATAGTGAACACTAAGCAAAAACTAACTAGTTACCCATTTGCAGCTGCAGCTTCATCTGGCACCGTCATAAATACCAAACACAAATAACTTTGCGGCAGAGGAAAAGTGCTGCTAACGAGTATTCTGAAATTTATGTTGTGGAAATGGGGAAGTAAACTTCTTTAGGTGATATATTTTCACAATTATTTTAGGGTAAGTCTCAAAATCGCATTGAAGAAACTAAAAACCTACAATGCATAGAATATTAACCATAATTAAATTTAAATTCAATGTTGCCATCTGTTGTTAAACAATGGAACTATTGACTATTCAAAGCTTTTTTCTTAACTTGAAACCAAAGGGATTTTTTTGTAGCTTTTGTGTAATACTTATTAAATATTTAGAAATTGCCTTAGTCAGCATTCAGTTATAGTCAGTTCCAAAAATTCTGTTCATGAACCTTGGATAGCTTTTAAAAGACTTTCATTAAAACTTTTTTATGCAAATTTATCCGCAATTTTTAATAGAAACTTTTATCCAACTTTAGATTCTATCAAGCTTAAGAGATATTCAAGTTTCTGGTTTGTGTCACGGATTCTGACAAGCTGTCCTTAAATTATTAAAGCAATCAGTTGTGTAAGTTAGCCACTTAGCAAATACTCGAACCTTTTTTTTTTAGTGGTTCACAAAGTGAAATAATACATTTTTGGACTATTATTCTTAATGTCCCTCGGCATGTACTTCTCTCCGTACGAAAGCAAGCCATTGCGTTGTGAATACTCTAGTCTGATAAAATAATACTACTAATCTAGGGCTGTACATGACCTGGTACAACATTTTGTTCCGCTGCTATCATGCAAAAAACCTCAAAGAATTGGATAGCTAAATTTTCGTAGAATTTTCCTATTGGTTTGGAAAAATAGATTCTAGAGACCAAAGGTATTATGAAGATTTACTGTAACTCTAACTTATTTTTAAATTACATTAGGAATATTAGAAATACATTTTCCCTAACTTTTTTTACGTTTCGTTTATTTATTTATGGATGTTACTCAAGTTCTGTTTTCGCATTCCGAAATTTTGTTGGC